ATATACCCAACAACATCGCGAACGAGAGATGGGGTAAAGCGGGGGATAACGACAGCTACACGGGTCTCCTCGGTGAAGCAATTGCCGGGAATGCTGATTTCTTTCTCGGAGATCTGTATTATACGCTGCATCATCTGAATTATTTTGATCTGTCCACGCCGTATAATACGGAATGTCTTACTTTCTTAACGCCAGAAGCATTGACCGACAATTCGTGGAAGTTATTGATACTACCTTTCAGGTTATTAACCACTGAAGAATATTTTTAAATAATCAATTTTAAGATCAAATTCGTTCCAAATAAAGATTCTGGCTGAGATATTTTCCGCAATTTCTTATGGGAGAGGAAAGGGAATCATTAATTTGATCATCAATTCATTTCAAAGAATTGATTTGGCTTTGAGCGTCTATGTTCCAAGTCTATAAAATAATGGAGAGTATCTAATTCGCAACATAAACAATTATTTTATATTTATATTTAAATTTAAAAATAAAAAGCTTATTATAGACGCTAAAGAGAAGTAAAAGATCCTGCAGAATATTCTCTTCTCTTGTTAAATTTTGAAAAAGCCAACAGAGCATCTTGAAACTGATAAGAATGTACTTAACATAAATAAACAGCATTACTCCTTTAAATATTTACAAAGTAAATCTTTTGCATCTCGAACAAAATCTTAGAAATAGACGAATTTAAAGCATCATTAATCATCATGGCATAACATTCAAATCTTTCGTATTTCCAGGCCGAATGCGTGGATAGCGCTTCTCTGCACCCTATTAATGGGCGGTGGAGCTTTCTACGTGTTCGCGTTGTTCTACCGGAAGTACGTAGTCTCGCGATCGTTTTTGAAAAACAACAAAACGAACGTATACGAAAGGGGTACGAGGAGCACAAGGAATTTGTACCTGTTCACCGAGTTTCAGAACAGCATATTATACACGTACAGTATGTTGCTGCAAGTTTCCCTACCGCGTTTGCCGAATGTCTGGACTGTGAGGATTTTCATCGGCTGGTGGTGGATCTACAGCATCCTGGCGGCTGTTATTTATCGCGCCAGCATGACGGCAACTTTATCACATCCCGTCGCTAAGTACGGTATATGATGATATACAGAATGTGTATAAATCATTGGACACGTTCCCTTTACCATAAATTTCCTTTTTCGACTGCTTCGAAGCTTTCTTGAATGAAAACGTGCCGAGTTGTTTGCTCGAGTTGTATATACGTTCGAATTATAACCAGGATCGAATAAGTTAAATCGTTTTTCTTTTAACTAAATTAAGTTAAAGTTAATGGCTTATAAAATCAATTTATTTTATTAAAAGTTTCACGAACAAAAAGCTAATTTAATTAAAAATTACGTTAAAATTAAAAGTAAATTAATTTCAATTAAATTAAAAGTTTTAAAGAGTATTATTAAATGATAATGTAATTTTTTTTAAATTAAATTACCTTAAATGATGAAACAATTATAATATAAAACATAAATCATATTATGGGACAAACATTTTAACATAGACAAATGTTAAAATTGATATATTTTAAAAAGTAATTAGTTAAAATTAAAAGTTAATTCATTTAAAATTAATTAAGCTAAAAGTTATTAATTTCTTAACTTCTAATTTAATACTTAATAACTTCTAATTTAACTCTTAATTAGTCTATAATAACTATCCAACTTTGATTATAACTAATGACTAAAAATAAAAATGTGCAAATTGAAATAGATAATAAAATTGTATTTTTCAATTAATTTAATTAATACCGGATATTTAAAAATATATCCCTATTTAATTTTCACTCGTATTTAATTCCATATATTTATTTATCGTTACAGAGTAACTATCGATACTTTGGCACAGCTGACGAGATCGTCATTAACGATTGGGGGATGGAATGAGGAGAGCAAGGGATTCTTCCTCACCTCTTCAGATCCACATAGTCAAGAGATCGGCAATAAGTTCGAGTTGACGGACGACGAGGGGGATGCGATCGATCGAGTGGCAAACGGGACGTTCTGTTATTACGAGAACTCATATCTATTGCAGCATGCTCGCGGGAAACGAATATTCGAGAAGCAAAATGATCAGCCGAACTCGAATGAGAAGAGCATTGGATCGACAGTCAAGTACAATCTACATATTATGGAAGAATGTGTCGTTCACATGCCGATCGCATTAGGTTTGGAAAAGAATTCTCCGCTTAAGTCATACGTGGATTTATGGGTATTTTGTTTAATGATATTAATTTGTAAAAAGCAATTAATTGCGTGAAATTATAGCATATCTAGCGCAAATGTAGCATGCTGAGAAAAATAAAATTATGAGTATATGTATAATCTTGTCTTTTATCAGTAAATCTAAAATTATAAATCTATATCTGTCAAAGCACTTTTTAGCTTTCAAAAAATCGAATGACGTTGATTAACTCAATCAACTCGATATATTGACGAATTAGTGAAAAAAAATCTTTTTTTAATTTTTTTATCGTATCAATATTGGACGATTTCTAGTTAATAAAATTCAATGTAAGTTCTAACTCTCATTCTAGGTGAGACGGATGACGGAAATCGGTTTGGTGCACAAGTGGCTAAGTGATGTCATGGAATGGTCGAAGATCAACGAGTCACAGCTGGAATCGAAATCCGAAACGGCGCTAGTAAATCTACGCAAATTATATGGCGCTTTTGTTGCTCTCGGGATCGGTTATCTTCTCGGTTTTATCGCTTTACTTGGTGAAATTCTATATTGGAGATACGTCGTTTTAAAAGACCCGAGATACGACAAATATTATCTCGATCAATTTTATAGAAACAATAATAGATCAAAAGTTTGATGCAGTTTTATCTCTTTATTTTATGATATAATCAATCAATAAAAAAATATGATCCGTTATAGCGCTCTTTTAATCATTCCGAAATATTAAAATGGACTCAGCAAACCATGAATGTAATTGCTAACATAAATGTACATTACATTTCTGTTTCTATGTTATATAACAGTTACATTCCTGATTTATTAGAGAATATTAAAAAAATACAAAAAAATATAATAATATATATAATAAACTATGTGTGGAAAAAATGATCAATAAAATATATATAATAAATTTTTTAAATCAAAGACAAATAATTTTTTAATCATAATATACAGCATGTCTTAGAATTTTGGAAAAGCAGAAAAACTATCAGGGCTAAGACCTATTTTCAGAGAAGCTGTATATTTAAAAAAGAACTAAGAAAAATATGTAAAATATAAATATATAGAATATAAAAACTAATTTTCAATTTCTATCTCGATATTGTACAGATATTTATGCAATCATATTAATTACTATTTATTTTATAAATATTTGAAAATTTTCGTTCGTGATTTAATTTTCTTTTAAAAAAGTATTTTTTAAAAAATGTAAAAAAGTATTTTTTAGAAAATACCTAACATGTAATTTTCCATAAATTGCATAAACAAACCAATCAAAAATTTGTCTAATGTTTGCTAAAATTTGTCTAATGTACGTACATACAATATAACCAATTTGGATTCTTCATATTGGTACTTGATTTCTACGTGGCGGTCATGTGATCATTTCGCCATGTTTCTTGATTATAAAAACATTTTTATAACATTTCAAAGTTCAAAGGCTACGTTAATGTTTGGAAATCCAAAAACGAATAAAAGAATCTAAATGCTATATATAAATATAATTATACATAATATACTCATATTTTTTTAATTTTTACACAATTTCATAATAAATATTTAATTGTTATGTTTAATTGAATCCAAACGAAAATATATAGGTTCATATTCTGAATCCTCTTTTATAAATTTGTGTAACCACGCACTTTCTCACAAATATATATATATATATTAAAATGAAATAGTATATATTTGAAATTTGGCGAAAGTAAAATAAAAAGTTTTAGCACAATTCAAATGCAGCAATAAAAAAACGGACCTTGTGATATTGTACAATAAAACTTAAGGAGTACGCAATCTATACACTTATTAATCTAGGATCTATGAAGTAACATGGCTGCCTACAGTGCGGTTTCCGTATGTTGTTTAGCAGGTTAGGATGGTTAGGATTAAATAATATATTACTGTACATTAATGTCAATATGTAATTTTGTACGCACATATCACTCATATATTTAAAATTATATAAATCGAGTTAAACTAAACATTTATTCAAATTTTTTTTTAAATTTATGGCAGTTGGGAAATTATTTTTATTAATTTTGCCTTTTCAAAGAATTGTTATTTTGCTGGCTACATCATAACTGCATTCTGGGAGCACGCTACCAGCGTGTTATCTTTATTTTGTCTAATGATGACGTAATACTTATTAGCGCACTTCCCCACGCTCTTCGAATGCAGCCAATGATCCGACATTAAATATATTTGACAAATATTACATATATTTTTAACTAATAGTGTTATATTAGCAATACAACTAACGTTTCTTATACTATGATTAATCTATTATATGTTTTTTAAGATAATAATTGTCATGATGGACAATATCCAGAAGAAAGAAGATCTACAAGACAAAGAACAAGAATTAGCAAAAAGTGCTGTTTTAGCTCCTAGTAATTCTTTACCTCATAATGCACCTACAGTGAAAGGTATTTACTTTTATATATTTTCTATTAGTTGTTTTCTAATAATGGTTTTTAGTTGATTACTGTGAATTATTCTTGCATAAATAATAAATTTGTATGTTTAGGCTATGATTTTAATAAAGGGATTGACTATCACGACTTGTTTAGTTCCATGCTATTTTGTGGATTCCAAGCTACAAATTTTGCACTAGCAGTTAAAGAAGTAAATCGTATGCTGCATCAAAGGAACATATCCCTCATGGAAGATCAATTAGATAAGACAGAAGAAGATGAATTTATAAAGAGAAAATATCACTGTACAATATTTCTGGGTTATACATCGAACATGGTGTCCAGTGGCATTAGAGATATTATAAGATTTCTCATACAACATAAACTGGTAGATTTGTACATCCAATAATATTTTTTAATAGATGTCTTGTTGCGTTTTGATATTTTAGATATATCATTTATAGGTAGATTGTCTTGTTACCACAGCAGGTGGAGTAGAAGAAGATTTTATCAAGTGTTTAGCACCTACATACATTGGTAGCTTTTACTTCGATGACAGAAAACTTAGAGACAATGGAATAAACAGAACTGGAAATTTATTGGTTCCAAATGATAATTATTGTCTGTTTGAAGATTGGTTAATGCCAAAGTTAGATACGATGTTGGCTGAACAAAAGACAAAGGTATACAAACAATTTAATTATTGCATTGCTTGAATTAGATGTAAAGCAAATTTTTACTTCTATAACTGAGTTGTGCTTTAGGGTACTTTATGGACGCCGTCTAAAATGATAGCGAGACTCGGTGAAGAAATTAATAATGAAGATTCAATTTACTACTGGGCTGCAAAAAATAAAATCCCAGTTTTTTGTCCAGCATTGACTGATGGTAGTCTTGGCGATATGATGTTCTTTCACTCATTTAAAAATCCGGGTCTTGTGCTCGATATTGTTGCGGGTTAGTCTCGGTGCAATATTTATTAAGATTTAATTGACTTATCATGCGCGTAAACTGATGAGTTTTCAATCTTCTATAGATGTCAAGAGATTAAACAAAATAGCTATGAAAGCGATCAACAGTGGCATGATAATTGTTGGAGGCGGTGTGGTGAAGCACCACATCTGCAATGCTAATCTTATGGTAAGATGACGATTCTACTTGGGAAGCTTATCCCAGGGTATTCACTATGGTAACGGTACTTTATTATAGAGGAATGGTGCGGATTATGCCGTTTTCATCAACACATCTTCAGAATTTGATGGCAGCGACAGCGGTGCCCGGCCTGAGGAAGCGATTTCGTGGGGAAAAATTCGGAAAGACGCTAATCCCATCAAAGTAACGGCACATTATCCGCTGATATTTCATTTAAATGTAATGAGCTCGATCAAATTATCATGTGTTACCGTTCTGTTTCAGGTATGCGCTGACGCTACTTTGATATTTCCATTATTAGTTGGAGAAACCTTTGCCAGATATCATTTAGAGGAAAATGAACAAGCAATATCTCGATGTGATAAAGGCGTATAGAAAATAAAATAATTATAATTCTACATTTAATCTACATTTAATAATTACGTTACGAAAATTACACAATTATGTATACAATTATGAATATTAAATTTATATTGAAGAATGAAATGGTTCTTGTATGATTACTGGATATCCAAATGTCAAAAAGCAATGTACAAAAAATAATTTTGCTGAATAACATTATAACATCTCATAAAGATAAACATATGTGATATATCATATTTGTGTGTAGCATTGTATCTATATTATTCTATTATGTAAATAGTTATTGTATCTCTCCAAAAGAATCTTTTCCTTCTTTTATATATTTTTTATAAAACATTGCCTTCAAAAAAGTAGCTTTATGTTTTGCGTTAAGCAATTCAAAATTGAGTTTAAATGCTTGTCGAAACTAGGAACGTCTTCCTCGAGAAATTCACGTTTCTCGGCCTTCGCTCGATCTCAGGGGAACAGGCGAGCATCGCGACGCTTGCGCGACAGCGGCGTGCCTGCGCCGGCAGCAGGTGTACGGTGGCGCAGGTTCGCCAGGCGTCGCGGCGCCCTGTGGTCGCGTCGCGGGGGGATGATAAGGGTGGCGGCGCCGTTCGCCAGTTGCTACCCGTAAGCCCGCGCTCGCGGACGACGGGTGTGAAACCAGCCCCCGATCATCCCCCGTCGCACACGACAGGAGTAACCCTCGATTCTACGGTTTCTATCCCCCTCCCCCTGTCCACCCCTCTCGCGCGGGAGACAACCGTTCGGGGTAACACGCTCGTGCTCGTCGTCGTCGTCAGTCGACCTCCTCGCGCGGATCGTCGCCATCGCAGTGCCCGTACTCGTCGTCCGTTATCAACTCTTCCCCTCTCCCCCACCTGTCCCGCTTGCTCGTTCTCCCTCGCGGGATATCGCGTATCGCACACAGCGGTTGGTGGTGCTGGTGTTGGTGGTGGTGGTCATCATCGGTATGAACGATGATGGACGTGGAGGAGACCAACACGGCGTCCACCGCGAGCTCCTCGCCGAGACCCTCCAGCCCTGCCGCGGACTCCACTTTTACAGGTAAGAGAAGACCGTAGTGTACATAATATATAATACATACATTGTGTGTGTGTGTGTGTATGTGTGTGTGTGTGTGTGTGTGTGTGTGTGTGTGTGTGTGTGTGTGTGGTGTGGTGTGTGTGGTGTGTGTGTGTGTGTGTGTGTGTGTGTGTGTGTGTAATTATAATTTAATAATATTAAATAATAAATTTTGCCTTTATTTGTAACATTCAAATAATCTCATTATTAGTTTTGCATTTTCATTTGCTCTAAGCAGCGCCAAGTGTTTTTACATAAAAATTTTTTTATTTAAATAAAATTTTATCATTTATTTTATACTGTTACTTTATAATTCTTTGTAATAAAAACGTAAATTGAATAAAGCAATTTGTGATAAAATTTTTTTGTGATAAAATATTATATATAAAAATATTTTAAAGCTAAATAATTACTACCACTTGGATTAAAAGTAATAGTTGGGTAAAAAGAAGTTTTTAATGGATAGAAAGATATACATATAATTTGGTTTTTATTATTTTTAAATTAAAGAAACTACTACTTGAGTTTTATTTTTTTAAAACAGTGGTTTATCAAATCTTTTATACGATTGAAATATATAATTTGACTAAAATGGACTTGTAGCTTCATGTTTGTAAGACTATAACTTGGCGCCAATTATTGATATCAAATCTTTTATATAAATTTTAAACAATCATTTGAGTTGGCAATATCCACTATACTTGACACCCTTTTTTTACCTTTTTTTAAAAAAAAGGTAATTTTATAGTGTATACACACACACACACACACACACACACACACACACACACACACACACACACACACACACACACACACACAC